TCCGGAGGACCCGGCCTGTCGTTTTGGACACAGCCTTACTGTATATAAAGAAAACCATCACTTCCTTGTCACTACTCTTCTTCACTGATTGAGTTTGGTAATGTTTCAAACTGTCAAACACTGCCACCAACTGTTCAGGAGCATTATTACACCCCTAATTGTTGTTTCACTGTGGAGGGGGTGTGTTCATCAGGGTGGCCAATGGGGTGGCCAAAGTTTTGTCTGTGGTGGCCATGGCCACCCCCTGGCTACGCCCCTGCGCTGCGCGGCATCTATTCCAAATAATACAGCACAAAAAGTCACAATATTGGTGTTTATTTGTACTTATATGTTACAACTCTGTCAAATATAGGCCTTTGTGTCATGTGGAAGAACCAGTGGTCAGCACTGATCTAAAAATTACTCAAATGTTTACGTCCCCTAATTCTAAAGCACTAATGCACTGAAAATTTTAGCAAAAGCTAATTCTAAAGGACTAAAATAACCCAATCAACCCATGAACATTCTTCAACAGACAACATGAGTCACATATTGTCATGATGCTCTCTTAACACTTATCATTGACATCCCACAATCATATTTGGGTTCATATATCGTCACCTGGATAAGTGACACACATATGAACAAAATGTGACAGCTTTCACCCTCAACATTGATCAATAACATTTATAGACCTCAGTTAATGCTTCTAAATTTAGCAAGTGCTAATCCGTTGAGAAATTTTAAAATTAGCAAAAGTCCGAAAGCACTAATCAGGAAATTAGTTCCCTACTGGTGCTTTAGTGCTTTGGGGGAACTGTGCCCACAACCGTTTGCAGCCTCTGGAAGCCTTCCACCGTGCTGGTYCCATCTAGCTCCTGAGATCATGGGCAGATTTTTATTTATTTATATAATACCTAGGCTATTTGGGGGGCGAGTATAAATGAAATGTTAAAAAAAATTACTGATGTATTTTTCATTATTTAGCTTACTTTTTGAGTGTTAAAAATTTTCCACTCTTTTTATTTAGCTCTGTTCATAGGTTTAGCTATTTTTTCTAAATGTTCAATTGAAATGTTAAAAATATATTGAAATATTAAATCCTAAATCTAAATGTGTAAATCTTAATGTAAAAGCTAAACCTTAGTTTAGGTATGTTTTGCTGTTGGTGCTCAGCTCATTTTATGACATCATCATCCTGAGACAATAGTCTTCACACAATAGCAACCACTAGTGCTTCAATGCAGCCATAGCTTCCCTTCAAGACATCAGACTTTCAGTTACAGCTGAAAGTCTGAGCTACATTTCAAACTGTGGTCCACAGTTTTTTTTCTGTTTGATTCAGATGTAATCTGAGCAAATGTTGCAGAGTCGCATCAGAATGTATTTAAACACTTTTTTTAAAAAAAATTATCAAAGAAAATGTCGATCAGTATCAGATGTAATGTCTAATTTAAAGATTGCTGCACTTCGTCACTTTGTTTGTTACTGGAAAAACAGAGTTCAAACCTATGTAAAACCTTAAAATTTTTAAACAATCCTGAAAGACTGAATACAATAAAGACGCACTATTATTCCACTGGTTTCCATTTGGTAAAATATGCAGGAAGACTTGTTGAAAGAAAATCTTTAGTTTCTGTTTTAGAGTCTGCCAACCAGCATCATCTTTCTCATGTTAATGAGCATTGACTCACAGAAACCTGCTTTTTCTTTACACCAACAACTGTTGGCAGCTTCAGGGCCGAGCAGTGGACCAGCCTAATGCTTCCACCCAAACACAAACCCTGAAAACTGGGCCAGACTGTTTGGACTGAAGCCTGACTGGGACTCCTGTTGTTGGTGTTTTGTATCCAGGATCAGAAGGTGATGGGACCAAAGCTTCCTCTGGAGCAAGCATCACTCGTGTCCAGAAGAGGGCGACGTTTTAACCCAAAGCTTTCTCATCCTGAAGTGGGGGTGAAATGGTTGTATTTACTACAAAGGTTATTTTAATTTTTTTCTCTTGTGTTCTGTTGAACTATGGTTCAGATGGCAGCTTTACCTAACCCAAAGGTTTCGGCCTGAGAAACAAAGATTTTTTTTTTCACGTCCCGATTGGCTTGAAGAAGAAGAGACTCGGGTTTATTTCTGCAAATGTTTGTTTCCTTCATTCTTATCCACACATTCTTGTGAATAACATTGTGTAAAAACAGCCCAAGGACATGACGCAGGTCGCTGGTGTTTGCAATAAAGCACCGGGTCATTCTCTGCAAAGATTTTAAAAATCCACGTTAAACAAAACTTCCTCCGACAAACGAGGCCAGAACTGGTCAGGTTGAGGAATCTGATCATTTCTTTTTCACAAATATGGAAAATAGCCAAAGATTGAAAAAAAAACTGTTGAATTTAAAGTAATCTATTGGGGGGGGCAGCAATAATTTAAGAGTGTTCGTTAAAAGCAGCTGATAAATCTGTGTTTGGAGGTTAGTGTGCAGACAAAACTATTTCTATTTAACCTCTGAGTCAGAGCACTCTACACATGATAGGTAAGATTTACTGAGTTTAACCTCGGACAGAATGAAATCTATGAACACAAACATTTCAGCCTCATTTAGTACAAAAAATATTTAAATGATTAAAATTAATAATTCACTGCTGCTGTGTGAGACTTGCAACACATTTTTCAGTATTTTTATTCTTATTTGGCCAATGATTTTTCTTTATTTCACATATTATCTCATCTTTTCTCGAAAATAAAATTATTTTTGTCTTTATCAGTCCAGTGTGTAGAGTTATAAATAAGGGCTGAGTTTGAAATGTTTGGATGTTTAGTTGTGTCATGAAGTCATACATTGTTTATAATTGTTACTGATGATGTATTTGAGTATTTTAATGTAGTTTAAATGTGTCAGATGTGACGAGGGGGTGAAATGAACTCAAACTCCTCCATATTAAGTCTTTTTTTGTGAAAATCAGCTGATCTGGGGGGGGGTTTTCATCGTTACAATAAGAGGTGGAGGTAATGATCTTAATCAGTTTGCAGGTGGTGACCCTGCTGCATGAAATAACTTGCAGCTCAAGGATCAGTGTCTGCAGCTCTTGGAAACAAAGGAACAGTACATTAACTGCATTTTTTTCTGAGCTTTTTTCTGCAGCGTGGCCAGAAAAGATTGTGGGGAGGGGGCAGTTAAGCAGGTTAGCATTAATCCTGTGAGGTTTAGATTTACAATTTGATTAAATATTTCCAAGTGGGCTCTAATGAGCTAAAAGAGAGGGCAAAAATGTATGCAACGCCATTTATTCAGAGTTTTTATTACTAACATGCGAGACAAAAGATGAACAAAAAAAACATGATTTTTATGTTTTAATCAAATGATCTACCTCTCTGCTAAAACGAGCCTTTCTATGCTAGTTACGCCCGAAACGCTCGGCTTATTGTCTGTTTAAATTCAACGCCTTCCTTCTTCTCTTCTTATTAAATTGTGCTTTTGCTCTCTCAACAGATAGCTGAAGTGGACTGATGGATGGAGCAACAGAGGTGGTCACCCAGGACGTTTTAGTTTGTTGAAGGGGTGTTTTTCTTTGCCGTCCCCTCGGATTGGCGTTGACGGTTGTGGTGAAAAGCTGCCGGTCGCGCCGAGTTTCTGGCACTTGAGGGGACGGGGTTGTGAGGACAGAGTTTTCGGCGGCGCCGTGAGAGGAAAGCAGGTTTTCGCTCGGAGCGGGGTCGGACGTTTTCCTCCGCCTGTTTCTCAGGGGTATTTCTTCCGCCCTTCGCCCTTTCGGAACGTGGAAGGGGACAGCCGAAACCTGGCTGCTCTGGCCGTGAACATGTGGTCCGTGTTGCCGGTCTGAGGGGAGGCCGGGCGGGACGGTGGGAACCCTGCTGAGGGGGATCACTTTCAGGCGGTCCGCAGAATTTGGCAGGTCAGCAGGCACAATGGGACTATCAGTGCTGAGTTTCTTTCTTTTCTTCCTCCTCTCTTTGTCTCCGCTCTCCTTTGACCTGCTCCTTTTGACGTGGGGGATTACAATGGGGGCGGTGCTGGCAGGAAGTTGCTGCTTGGCGAGGCGTCGTTCAGGCTTTGCTGTTGGGCTGACAGAGTGAAAACCGTTTAGACCGTCTGTGTTTAATACCGGGTCTTCAGAAGAAGGGTGATGTGTTATCTTGTCGTTCTTTTTGCTTCTTCCTCGTCGTTTATCTGCGTTCTTTGAGGTAGCGTTCATTCTGCTCGATAAGAGAGGGTTTTCTTCTTCTTTCACCGTCTTGCCGTCAGACTCTGCTGACCCCGCCGGGCCTGTCAGAGGTGACGTAACGGAATCCGACTCCTCGTCCGGAACAGGCTCATCTTTCATGACTTCATTGGACGGCTCGTCTTTTCTCCTGAGCTCAAATTCATCGGCTACGTTTGTGTTCGACTGGTTACGCCTGTTCGACTCGAGGATAAAATTACTTAAAGACAGGACGTCTTCTGCTGCTCCTTCCTCTGTTTTCACCTCCGCCTTCTGCTTCCTCTTCCTCCCATTTCCTTTCCCTTTTTGCTTCCTTCTGTGTTTCTTCTTCTTCTTCTTCTTCTTCTCTGAGCTTTGCGCCGCGTCCTTGTCGGAGTCAGCGTTGGAGCTCTGAGACGTGGAGACCGTGGCAAGCACCTTGATGAAGTCCTCGGCGGCGGTGACGACGTTTCCCAGCGAGGGCTCCCCTGCGCTCTGAGTCACGCTTTCCTGCGGTTCTCCTTCGCTGACTTCCTTGGGATCGTTCCGCCTGGGCGGAGCCAGCGTCAGCTCGTCGATGACATCAATACCGCCGTAGTCATACGGCACCGCTTCTCTCAGCACGGTGACGGGCAGCTTCTCGTATCGTTTACACCTGAGAGAAAGAGAGGTGTGAGCTGAGCGCAGGAGGAAGTTGCCGAGAAGCTACACGGGCGATACTCACAGGCCGTACCAGTGGCGCTCGGCGCACTGCTCCTCGTAGGCGAAGTCGAAGCAGGGAACGCCGATGACGTTGAAAAAGGCTTGGCCGACGACCCGCGAGGACGTGTCGTTGACTTTTCTCAGACAAGACTTCAAGCTGCAGAGGAACGAGAGAAAACGGTCGGGATTTGGCTTGAAAGAGAGGGAAAAACTCCAAGATATGACATGAGGAGTCGCTAAAAGATAAACAGGTCGCTGAAGGCGGGGTTAGTCTAGACCAGAGCTTCTCCACAAGAGGTATCTTTGGAGTCCTCAAAAAATTTCACTAAGTTATTGGTTTTTATTTTAAAAAATTCATAGGGAACAATAAACTAATAAAACAACAATAAAAACAATAAATAAACCAAATACAAATATATTTCTGATGGTATTTAGGGGTTGAAATGACAGTAAATTACCTTTTAAAACAGCATGAGGGCGTCCCTGGAATTTTAAATTTTAACTTTTTTTACTTTTTTTTCTGGGTCCCCAGACCCAAAAGGTTTCAGAACCACTGATCTAGATGAGTTAATAACGTGCCTGTTTTTAGTCTCAGGGAGGAAACAAGAGCTCTCAAAGAAAACCCACAGGTGCACAGGGGGAACCTGCGAACTCAACGCAGATAAACTCCAGACCAGAAGGCGAACCAGTGACCTATGTGACAGCTCCAACCACTGCACCACCCGCAAGAAAACCTAAAAATCTATGACTTATAAGCTTTTTTCCTTTTTTTAACTTAACCAAAACAAATTCTTCAGATCTTTTAAGCACAAGTTTCACCAAATGAGTTTCAAACTGATGGTTTTGTTTTTCTAGTGGAAAAATATGACTTTCAATCTGAACACATCCTGTTTGAAAATAGTAAAATTTGTTGGGAATATCTTTTTATTTCAGTTTATTACCCGTTATTCATATTTTTGCCACAACTCCAATATTTTTGTGCAACTTTGTGGGTTATTTGTGCATAATAAAACGTTTTCCCAAATATTTGCAGCATATTTATCAGAACTATAATTACTCTTTCATTTATGCAAACAGTGGCTCCAGTTTGTTTTGCAGAAGTGAACATGTTTAGTAAAGCCTTTTACTCACTCGTTATCACAGTCGCAGTGACTGATGGAGTGCCATTTAAAATTGGTGCGTCCATATTTGGAGGAGAAGGCGTGGATGACGTGAGGGCAGTGGTCGTGCACGCGGCAGCAGCTGTCAGTTTCTGCAAACTCTCCTGCAGAAAGAACAAGGTTGAACATTGAACCACGCATTCCAACCGCACCATTTATTGTTGGAGGGTTGCCACTCACCCAGCTGGTTGTAGTCATCCGCCATGTTCCCCGCTCCGCACCACAGGGTCCCGGGGTACGTGAACCCCCTCTTGGACCTTCTCAGAACCCCGTCCTCCTGCAGGGTCGGGTCTTCTCCCTCGTGCCTTCTGCTGCCGCTGCCCTCTGATCTCCGCTTCAGCTCTCGGCACGTCTCTTTGGCCTCATCCATGTGCGTAAAAGGCGTCCGGCGCGCGGCTCTCCGCTCCTCCAGGCTGCACGCGCGCACGAACGAGCTCACCTCCGTCCGGTTCACCGCCACGGAGCAGTCCACGAGCTTCCCGGCGGGGCTGACCAGGCTTCGGACCACCACGGCTCCGTCCGACACCTGGTGGAGGTAGTTCTCACCGACGGTTGAGGTTTTTGCGCAGATCGTGGAGAGCACCTCCTTGTTCTCCTCCTGCGCGCGGCTCGGGAGGAGGTCTCCCCTCACCGCGTTTCTGTCCAGAGAGGACAGGAGGACAAAGAAGACGGACCACATGCCGAGGCGGAGTGGTACTTTCAGCACCACGCGGGACGGAGACAGCTCCTCCTGGGCCGGTTCTGCGGCTCTGCTCGAGCGGCCCATCCTCTTTTAAGGTGCGTGATTCGGGGATGGCCACGCGGGGAGGAGTCAGCGGAGTTAACCGCTTTGTCCTGCAGGTAGAAAGGCACCGCGGCTCGTGTGTGGAAGCAGCAGGAGGACAGCAGGGGGTTAAAGTGCCGGCGCTGACCGCAGGTTACCTCCCGCCTCCCAGAAACAGGAGATTTACTTTGGGAACATGGAGGAGGTTCTGGCTCCTTCTCCATGGTGACGAGCAAGGGGGGGGTGACTGCCAGCACGGGACAGTGGGCATCTTTCAAACGTTACAAAACAGTCAGTGAAGTGCTGATGACCTAAATCCCCACGAAGAGACAAAACTCTCAGTCAGGAATGTGGACAGAGGTCAAAAGTGTCTCACGCAAACTGAGCTGAGACTCAGAGGGTTTCAGGTCGAGCAGCTGGGACTAAAGTGGGTTTAGGTTAGGTCTATAGTCAAAACATGCAGAGTAGCCTATCTTTTCTCTTTAAAATGCTATTTCTGATTGTATAAAGCTGGAACTTTAACAACTTTAAAATCTGCTTTCCTCTCAAGAAACACATTTCCAGTCGAGATAAATAGAAACAATAACTTTTACATGGTCAGTTCAACAAATATGAACTAGTTTTTGTGATTTGATCTTTGGATTTCTCCTTTGAATTGCTCTTTTTGTAAATAAAGAACAATTAAACAGAACAAAAACATCTGACTGCTCCATCAGCCTCTGATTATTCAAATATCTACACAAATAAATCAAAAAAGGGTCCAGCTGGGTGAGAAATGTCCGGTGCATTCGGGAGCCACAGAGCACCAAACCGGACCAACGAACTCACCTAATCCTAGACAAAACTTTATTAAATACCTTTTAAGATTTTAAACTGTTTCTACTGTGTCGTGTCTTCCCATATGTTATGGCTCTCGAGCCAGGTCATAACATATATGGGGGCTCATCCGGGATTGGAAGCCGGGACATCTCGCACCCCAAGCGAGAATCATACTCCTAGACCAAGTGTCTTCCCATATGTTACAGCTCTCGAGCCGGGTTGTAACAGTCACTTTTAGAACCAAAAGTCTGATCTGTGCTCAGAAACATAGATTTATAAGAACTCCGTCATTAATGGTTGCAATGAGCCTTTTTTTGACTGGATGGATGGATGGATGGATGGATGGATGGATGGATGGATGGATGGATGGATGGATGGATGGATGGATGGATGGATGGATGATGGATGGATGGATGGATGAAAAAGATTAAAGACACTCAGGAGGGAGGGGAGGGGTTTGATAGTGAGTGCAGGTCTCTAATCGTCATGTCAGTTTTTGAAATAACATCAGGAAAACAGAATTTTTTTAAAAAACCCTGATAATCAGGTTTATTGGTTCTGGTTCATGTAATCAATAAAACATAAAGCCTACAAACAATTTAAGTTTAAAAAAACTCTAAAATCCAAACATTGCAGAAGTCTAATGCTTCTTTGAGCGAGTTTTTTTTTATTTTTCTTCCAAGAAAAGCAAATCTTCTTGTCAGGTTGGGTTTCTAATCAGCCCCGGGTTTTGTCACATGGCTGGTCTTACTCCTCAGAGGAGGAGGAGGAGGAGGAGATCTGGCCTCCTCAAGGCGCTGAAATCCGATTGCTGAAGGGCGGAGAGAAGTGATGTCAAATCACCAGAGGCAACGTTCGACCACATCGTCGAGAAGAATGAGCAAAAGAAAAGAAAGTTTCCCATGAACTGAAGGTGGACGAGGGCCAAAAGAACAACAATGAATAAATCTGCTGTTAGTTTAGAGTCAGATTATACAACACAACCAGCAACATAAAACTAAACTTACATCACACAAAAAACAACTAAAGATCATGGTTTTTCAGCACAATTTTATTTGACTTTATTTAAAAAACATCCTAATATACTTGCTCTCTTTTTGTCGTCTCCTTTTATTTTAGCCTTTGTTCATTTAAGCTTTTATTTATACTTCTTTTAGCTCTGGTTTTGTTGATTTTAGCATCTGTTCAGCTTGAAATAACCTTACTGTTGGTTTTTTTTTTTTTGCAAATGATAACTTTTAGCTATCTTTTACCAATCTTAGCTTTTATTTATGTTGAGCTTTTAGTAGCTTTTTAGCTACACAATTTGTTAATTTTAGCTTGTGTTCTTGCTCTAATTTTAGCTACTGTTTTAATAATTGGAGCTTTTGGGTATTTTGTCCATTTCAGCTTTTCTTTGCAGTATGCTTTATTTAACTTTTAGCTACTGTTTTGTTTATTATAACTGTTAGCCCCATTTTTTGCTAATTTAGGTTTTAGTTAGCCTACTGTTTGGTTGGTTTAAGCTTGTTTTGATATTCATGAGCAATTTTTTTCTGTTTTGTTTTCAAAGGTAACGCTTCTGTGAAGAATTGATTCAGTCTCAGCTGCAAATTCTCTTTCTTTAGTTATCTTTCTTTCTTTCTTTCTTTCTTTCTTTCTTTCTTTCTTTCTTTCTTTCTTTCTTTCTTTCTTTCTTTCTTTCTTTCTTTCTTTCTTTCTTGTTTGAATTATGAAATAAACCTTTTGATGTTTTGTGTTTGATGTGACGAATAGAAAGGACTTTTATATTATCTGCACCACAGTTGGTGTTTCTGCACACATGAGACACTGCAGCTCAAGCAGGTTTTAGTAAAGTCTATGCTGCAGCTGCAGAACAGCGCCCCCTGCTGGTGATGAGGAGAAAACGTTCAACTGACCAAAGAATATCTTGAACAGTAGAAGAAACTTAGCTAAAAGCAAAAGTAGATGAAGAATAAAAACTAGAAGCAGTATGCTAAAGTAGATTTCAAGAATAAGAAAAAAAAGAGATTTTAACATCTAAAATCACCCACTTCCTGTATGAGCCAAATGTTTTGCACAGAAATGGCTAAAACAGCCCAAAGTCATCAGTAGACTACTGCAAACATACAACACAACAGCAGTCTGACATAAAGTACTGCATACCTTAATAATTAGTTATTACTTTTATCAAACGAGCAGAATAAAGTCCTCACAGGTCGATGGGTTGGAGGCCACACACAGATCAGACTGTGGGAAAGTTCTGCTGCTGCTGGCAAACTTCAACACTCAGCCGTCAGCTCAGCAGGAACTCTGGTTCAGAAAATCAGTCTGAAATTTCAGATATCAGTTTATTTATAAACAGTTTCCCAGTCTTAGAACTGGGAAACTAAGTGTGAACACGATCAGATGAAGGGTCCAGTTTCTGCCGCGGTGAACAAAGGAACCTACGGGCGTTTACTCAGGAACCGAGGAGGACTCAGTAACAAACTGAAACATGAAGGACAGATCCGTGGTTCGACTTCATCCACATATTACTCTTTCTTCTTTAGAGATCATGTAGTCCCATTATGGGTCCATCCACATATTTCAATGGAAAAAATGAGTACTATGGAACATAGATACCAGGAAACTATGGAATATATACCAAGAAATATATGTACTATGGAGCATATGTACCAGGAAACATAGATACCATGGAACATATGGAACATAGGGACCAGGAAACATAGGTACTACAGAATATTATGTTCTCAAACTGGGGTCTCTGGACCCTCAGGGGTCCGCGAGAGGTATCTTGGGGTTCCTCAAAAATTTTTACTAAAATGTTAATTTGGTTTTTATTTTTAAATATGCATGGAGAACAACAAACTAATAAAACAAACATAATAAACTTAGTAATATATATATTTCCATGGCATTTAGGAGTTGAAATGACAACAAATTATCTTTTAAAACAGCACAGGGTTTATGAGGGGGTTCCTGGAATTTTTTTCACCCTTGTAAGGGGTCCCAAGACCCAAACGGCTTGAGAACCCCTGCTAACATAGGGACCAGGAAACATAAGTACTATGAAAATTGGTACTATGAAACATAAGTACTATATGGAAAACAGGTATTAGGAAACACTGTACTGTACTGCTGTTCACTATACTGTAAGTGTGGACACCAGATCACCATTGTTCATAAAATCTGTAGGTTTTCAGAAAGTTATACCCAAAATATTCAACGGTTTGATTCAACTAAGTCACGTTTTGTGAAAGTCTCAGTGTTTCATTGAGTTGAACTGATTCTCCCACAGTCCTGTGAGTGGTTTAATGTGAAAATCAAAACAAAGATTTCAGTGTTTGTCAGCTCTCAAACACGCACAGACATGTCCTGTTTGTTCACTTTTTATGAACTGAGCTTTTGTGGAAACTCATCAAAGAGGTTTTGTGTTGCAGCTCTGGTTACTGTGAGGCTTTAGATCAATTCCAAATAAGAAAGAAGAATTCATCCTTTTTTTAAATTTAATTTTTTAATCTTTTTTTTCTTTTCAGGTCACTGTGTCTGAGAAACAGGAAACACCCTGCAGGTCACACTCTCTCCAGAAAACAGAAAGAAAGCGTGCCAGCTGCATTTTTTTAAATAGGGAAAGTGTATATTGTGTGTTGAAGGATTACTAATTAAAATATACTGGGAAAATGTTTAATTGGATTCAGAACTTCTTATCAAACAGAATTAAACAAGTTATTAGGATAAATATTAATTGAAAAATTTTGAAATAGGTTTCACTGCAATGAAAATTCAACATGTTCTTGTTAAAATAGAGAAATTAGAAATTTAAGGGGGATTTAAATCTGAGTTGATAGCGCCTACACAGAAAAATAAAAGTATAAAATATTATTATTATAGTTAATAAACTAAATTTTGATTTTTTTAAACTAAATGTATCAATAGAATATATAGTATTTCAGAGTATTTTGCTCTAACACCAAGGTTCTCAAACTGGGGTCCAGGGGTCTGCGAGCTGTATCTTTGGGGGTTCCTTAAACATTTTCAATAATTTGATTTTTATTTTTTTAATGCAGATGAGGAATACTAGTAAAACAAACATAATAAACCAAACAACATCAATAACAAAAGAAATATACATATATGCATTCAATATTATGACCGTAGTATTAGCATTTATTTTTGCTGCAGTAAGTCATTTTAATTGTGAATGCTGTTAAAAATGAAAAGTCATGCAGAGAAAAAATGTTATATTTTGTCAAAATGCATTTTCTTGATTTTAAATGTTTTAAGTTGTTTAGATTTTTGTTGTATTTTAACTTTTCTTTTGAACATATTTTGGATATGAAAAAGGGGGCAGATATTATAAGATTCATT